CCCGCGTGCTGCAATGCCATGAATGGAATGGCGACGGCGGTTCGCCCTCGTGCGTCACGGCGTCTAAGGCGGGCGATGGCGCAGTCACAATGTTATAGCGATGCAAAACAATGGTGTGATGTTCGTCACCGCTTTTGGCTCAGCACCACCAGTACATGACCTTTTTAGATGGTTTCTGAGAAACCATCTGTAGAGGTGGTTGTGATTGATAACATAGGTCCCGTTTGGCTTACCCAGAAGCCAGCTTGTTCGGCTTTTTTTTCCAGCCAGAACAACGTTTTTCTCTCACAATAATTCAGCCAGAACAGTGTTTTTTAGCTAGTTTCAGCCAAGTTTCAGCAAGCCGAACGGGGCCATAGTCTCTAAAAATCGACTTCTGGAGGTGGTTGGGCAGTCATCTCTATGAATCGCTTATTTGTAACAACGTAAGTTAAAAATGACTGGCCCAGCCGTCTCTATAGAGTATCTGTATCTCCCTCCACAAATTGGTTGTAGCAGGGAACAAAGATAATTTTGAGCTAGGGATAATCTCCTAACAAGCAAAAGTAAGATATTCATCCCACCAATATCAGGCTAGGAACTTTTAAGCCCAAACTGAAAGACCGAACCGAACCGAACCGAACAAAAAATTTGGTTTTTTGGTGTCGGCTTCGGTTTTTGAATCCTAGAAGTTTAGTGTCCAGTGTCAGCGAGGAATCGAGAAACATAGGGATATACATAAACCAGCCTCCTGCCATCCTAGCAAAGCCCAAAAAAATGTTGAGCCCACCTAGGCAACCACTCCATCCAACCCCCACGACCCTACCCGACCATCACAGCATGTCAGCAAGACAACAACTACTCCTTTCCAAACCTTATCCCTATCTCCCTGCACCCTATGGTGGTGCGCGGTTGCCGTGAGTGCGCGGTGCTCGGGGGCGAGACTCGGCTTTCGAGCGGGCGAGGCTGCTAGGGCGGCGTAACTACTAGCTGGCGAGCGAGCAAGGCCGCAGCCTGCGCGGGATGGCGCAGTAGCTGCTGGGCAGGGGTGGGGACGGGGGACGGCGCGGTGGGCGCTGGGCGACTGAGCGTCGCCAGTCACTGAGGGGGTGAGCAGCAGGCAGTGAGCGTGTGCGAGCTATGCTGAGTGGAGCGAGTGCCAAGTGGCTGCACGTCCACGGCCAGGAGGCGGCGACAAGGCGCATCTGGGTGCAGATAGCATGAGGGATGACGAGCGAGGCATGCTTCGGTTTTTCCAGTCTTAAACCGAAAACCAAAGTAAGAACCCGACACCGAACTCGTCGGTTTTGTGTTGTTTAATCTGGGTGCAGATAGCATGAGGGATGACTGAATGTTCTCAATTCATGGAAATCGGAGTTTTGGAAACCGGATACCAAACCAACGTTTCGGTTTAAACCGATTGCCAAGTCCTACACCAATAATTGTGCATTACTGTACCTACTCTTATCCGCACATTATTATGCTGTGCATCACCATCGTGCATTCATGCTCCTTTGTGCATCATTCTACCTGCTCTTGACACATTATTAATAATAATAAAATCATAACTTTCACTCACAAGCAGGGGATAGTGATATGTATAGTTCCTTATTCTTAATGTTGCGGTCTATTGGTCATCCATACTCCCTAATTGATGTATCGACTTGGATCCACCGGCCGGCAATAGTAATCAGTTCAAATGATTGACAAAGTGGTAAACGTATAAAAGGGTTAATCAATATAACTGTGAATTAGATTCAAATAACCAATGACAACTCGCAGACTTTGACAGCGATATCTTTTTGTTGTTATAAGAGAGGAAAGCTAGGTCAACGTTATGCTGAAAGAATAAGCACAGCTAGAAGGCACAAGTGCAGCGAAACAAACACTGCCACGGTGCTGACCAGCTGTCGTTGAAGAGGGTTGTCTAGTGGACCCTCGATTTGGCGCACGACCTATGGCAGCTAGCTAAGCCTCCAAGCCAGCCGGCTGTGGGCATCAGTAAGCCGAAGTGGAGAGCACCGCCTGAGGATGGTTCAAATACAACTTTGATGGGGCTTTCTATCCGATCCTTGGTCAGGGGTGGAAGAGCGAAGTGGCACCCCTTCAGCCTGGATGCTTTGACGATGGAAGTCACAGCATGTAAAGAGGGCATTATTCTGGCTGGTGACCTAGGCATTCGCAAAGTGCAATTCGAAACGGACAGACAAGAGTTGGTGAAACTTTGGGAGATGGGAGAGCTGCAGCGATCACGTATTTCTCTGATCATCAGGGAAATTTGAGAGCTTAGTGCTTCTTTTCATGATTTTTCTCTGATATATATTCATAGATCATGTAATCATGTAGCCCATACTCTAGCTAAGCATGTCTCGGATTGCAACAGAATGGGTGAGTGGCATTGAGCCCCAACATGTATTACTATTCTGCTGATTGAAGATTGTAATCATGATGCTTCCTGATTAATCAAGGATTTCATTGTCACAAAAAAAAAGGCAGAACCACCGTGCGTGTATATATACCAGCGTAGAGGATGTTACGGTAAATGCCTCACACAAACGCTTGGGGATTGGCCTCTCAATTTTATTGTGGGATCAGTAAGAGGTACATGCGCACACATCAATAATTGCTCTAGGCGTGTGGCTAGCTTCCTGTTGGTTCCTCCACGGAATAAATAAAAAAATGCTTTTTTTTTGCCTGTTTTATCATTTTTGGGGGATTTCTAGGAAACGATTCATAGAGGCGGCTATGATTAACAACCGTCTCTATCGACTTCTAGGGATGGCTGGGTAGCCGCCTCTGCAGATCGTTTATTTGTAACAACATAAGCTTAGAGGCGGCTTACGGAGTATCTATATCTACCTCTACAAATGGCCGTAGTAATGAACATAGGACAAATTTGGGCTAGGAAGAATCTCCAAATTAGCAAATGTAAGATATTCATTCCCCCATCAGTTGTGCATTATATTACTATAGCCCGTGCATCACTATCCTACTCCTTTGTGCATCATTATACCTGCTCTTAGTACATAGTTAATAATAATAAATTCATAACTTTCACACACAATAAGCACAGGATAGTGAGATATATGTAATTCCATATTCTTAATGTTGCGGTCTATTGGTCATCCATACTCCCTAATTAATTTAATGCATCAACACATCACTGATCAAGACTAGTCCTAGTTGGATCCAGCGGCAATAGTGATCAGGTCAAATGGTTGACAAAGCGATAAACATATAAAAAGGGTTAAACAATATAACTGTGAACCAAAGACAACTCGCGGACTTTGACACAGACATTTTTGTGTTGCTAAGAGAAGCAAGCTAGGTCAACGTTATGCTTAAAAAATAAGCACAACCAGAAGGCATGACCACGGGGTGTGTGTGTATGTGTGTGTCTATATATATATATATATATATATATATATAACTACTATCATGTAGCTTGCTACAAAATAATTTATTCTATAGCCACTTTAAGTTATGATAATTACTATGTTAATTTATGAGATTATAATAACTCCTTACTAAGTGGTTTACTGTAACGTTATGGTAAATATCCCCATGTGTTATAGTAACCCAACTATCGTAAATATGTATTGACATTATCATAAATTAGTATATAAAATTATCGTAAATGGAGGTGGCTATAGAATAACTTATTTTGTAGATGGCTACTGAATATACTCTCCCTGTATATATACTATATATCTAGAGGATGTTACATGATCACACAAACATTTGGGGATTGGCCTCATGATTTTATTGTTAGGTCAATAAGAGGTAAACACGCCCACATCAATAATTGCTCAGTGTTCTACATTCTTGTTGTGCTAATGAACACAAGGGCCAGAACTCCTATAGCAGCTGCCATGCATTCATGATACTCATTGGTGATTACATTGTATGCCCGCTACTTAAGATTTTGTTTTGTCTCCATGCTTGTATTTTCTGGAGTTTGCTATTCCCAGTTCTACTTGTACAATTATGTGTTTGTTCTGCTTCTATGACCTCTGTTTACATATTTATTGGGACTGTGTGTGTTTTCTTCCACTCAAATTCCAAATTTTGTCATCAACTAACGGAACAATTTTATTATCACTTCTATATTTCAGATGCCTCAATTTAAAGATGATTTTAGGCAACAATTTGGTACAACCAACTAGTATAGGTTGATTGTTATTTGTCTTTGTATCATAACATATTAAAATTTTATCATTGCCAAACTATATAAACAAATGTAAATTGTTAATTGTTTTTGTGCCAACACAGATCATATTTTATCGGATTTGTGATTTTGTCTAACGGACTTCTTATTCTCGAAACCGAAAATTACAGATTATACTTATGTGCTTCCTCCGTCCCAGAATAGAGGTCGTCGTAGCATTCAAAAAAATATCAGAAAGGAAGACGTTTTAGCTTCTAGCTCCTGTACCAGAGTACAGCACTGGTCCATCCATCACCTCCTGTCATCCACTATACCAACAAAAAATGAAAAGAATCAGATGGTGTGGGAGGCCTCCCAGCCGGAGCGCTGCTCCCAAGCTGCATGCAGGTGCAAGATTCCTGTAGGGATGCCAGAGTCTTTTTGAGTCCACGTTGGTCTCTGTAACAACTTCTAGAACGTCGTATAAAATATATGCAATAATTGTTCCTTGAAAAAGGAATATTTTCTGAGGAAGGCAGAGCAGATTTGACCTCTACTGCACCCTTGTATATAGAGATAGAACAAGCTTCACCAATAATGTCAGGATGCCAAAGCCCCAACCGTTGTCCCACAAAACAACTCCTAATGGGCTCTTAATTATTGGTACTGCAGGTTGGCGGCATACTCAAAGTGTTTGTGGTAGTGGTTGGGGCCGGCCCGGCGTTGTGCATCATGAACAGGGGCGAGGAGCAACAACAACTCGATCTGGAGGACATTCTGGTGAGTTTTGGCATGCAATCCCTTAGCTTAGCCTTCTGTCGACACTGAAGGATGTTCTGATGCATGTAAACGCTTATGCGAAACACAGGGCACCATGAGCACTGCTGCTCCCCCTGCAGCCGTCCCCGCAGCCGCCGGTGAAGAAGTGGCTACTGCACCTGCATCATCGGAAGCAACAGCAGCTCCCTCGACGAGGAAGCATAGGAACCCGAGCCTGTACGCCAACGTACCTGCAGCTGAGATAATTGACTCGCTCCCCCTGGAGACGCGGCTCTTGGTGCGCCGTCGGCAGTATGGAGGCTTCTGGCAAGCTGAGTTCCTACTCAAGGGCATGGCTGCCGCTGGCACATGCTTCGAGCCAGAAGCATCGGACATCTTCCTCGCCAGCTTACCCAAGTCCGGCACCACCTGGCTCAAGGCCCTTGCCTTCGCCACGCTCAACCGTGCCACACACTCGCCGTCCGACGGCCAACACCCGCTCAACCACCGGAACCCGCACGACTGTGTCGGCTTCCTGGAGTTCAGGATCATCCAGCAGCAGCAGCAGCACGACGACGCCGGTGCAAGGGGTTTGTATGAGGCCCTCCCTTCTTCTCCACGGCTGTTTGCAACACACCTTCCCTACTCCCAGCTTCCCCATGCCATCACGGACGAGGGTTCCCGGTGCCGGATCGTGTACGTATGCCGGGATCCCAAGGACGTGCTCATCTCCTACTGGAACTTCTACAAGAAGGTGGCAGCGACGGCAGCCGCCACTGCCGGTGGCGACGGCGACGGCCAGGACTCTGCAGGCGTGACCAAATTCGAGGAGGTTTTTGAGCTCTTCTGTGAGGGACGGTTCCCCGGAGGGCCACACTGGCTGCATGCCCTAGAATACTGGCACGCGAGCCAGAGGAGGCCGGACCAGGTGCTGTTCCTCAGGTACGAAGACATGCTGGGAGATCCGGTGGGTAACCTCAAGAAGCTAGCAGCGTTCATGGGGTGCACCTTCTCTGAGGAGGACGAGGAGGATGGGGTGGTGGATCAGATCGTGGAGCTGTGCAGCTTGGAGAATCTCAAGAGCAAGGACGTCAACAAGAACGGGAGTACGCGGCTGGGCATCAAGAGTGAGTCATTCTTCAGGAAGGGGCAGGTCGGCGACTGGAAAAACTACATGACCATGGACATGGCGGCGAGGCTGGATAAGATTGTTGAGGAGGCCACCCGAGGTTCTGGGCTCACCTTTGGGGACTCCTCACTCCTCGGTCGAGGTTAATTAAGAAGCGTTCTCACCATCATCTTAGATCGATGGCACTGTGTTCGATCTAGAGATTACTTTCCATCATCGAAAAATAAAGATTGTACAACTTGTGTTTGCATGGAATCATGGATCTAGTTCTGTATCGATCATTAGGTTTGGTGTTTTGCATCCATACGTCACGTATGGTCAGGAGGCACATGGGCTACTCTAGTCTGGTATGATAAGCGTGAACCTTGTGGTGTGTGCGGTTGTGTACGGTTGTTACAAGAAAAGATGGATCGCTTTACTTCTTCTATAAGGAAATTATGTTCTTATTAATTTCAGATATGTTGTGTACGGTTGTTACAAGAAAAGATGGATCGCTTTACTTCTATATAAGGAAATTATGTTCTTATTAATTTCAGATATGATCCTTGTTATAGAAGTATATATAGATATGGTTCTGAATAGAGACAAAGTTCTAAAGATACAATATGTTTACAAATAGTATCTTACTCCAAGTAGATGTAGAGTCCTACTCAATCCTGTATGAAGTCCTACTAGGACATGTATCAACTGGACTATATCTATACCTAATCTATACTATAAAGGAGCGAAGGAATTAAAAATCTATTGTCACCAGAAAAACTTCCAACCCACCTCAGATTGACAAGTGGACCCACAATAGAAGGACGACAGAAACATATGAAACATGCGTGTTTTGCATTGTAGAGGACTCCTGCTCGATGTTTTTTTTCACCGTCCGCGCTTTCTTACCCGCCCGCATGTACCCACACCGGTTTTCTTCTCCCGTCCGATCGTCGCCTCCTGTCGGCCTGCGCCCCTACGCGCGTACAAGGAATAACCGCCCTCTCTGGCACGCTTCGTCGCACCCCTCCCTGCCCGCGTACCCCTTCAACTGCGCACCAGGAAAGCCCCTGACGCGGACGCTTCGCGAGACGGCGTACTCCCTCGCCACGGACGCTAGGGCGTGCGGGGCCGGGAACGCTGCCGCCGGAGTGTGGAGGACGCTTGGAACGCAGTGCCGGGAAAGCCCTCGACGCGGACGCCGGGTGCACGGAGCCGGGCGTATAGGGCCGGGAACGCCGCCGCGGGTTGAAGAAGCAGTGACGGACCTAGGTTTTTACCTCTAGGTATGCGCAGCAAAAAAATTTCTTATGCAATTCGGTAAACCATATATAATTTGGTAAAACCATATTCTCATTCGGTAAAACCATATTCTAAAACCATATAAATTGTTCAAATGAAATACAAAATACTTTAAAATATAGCCATATAAGAGACTCATGTTTGGACTTTGGAACTTACCGACTGGTGCTGATGAACTTGCTGGAGTTCTAGACCTCGCGCGTCGCCCTGAGGAGTCGAGCAGATCGCCGTCGCCACCTCGCCGGATCGTCGCGGGCTCGCGGCTTCTCCTTTCCCGTCGCGGCGTCGCCCTGAAGGAGCCAGGCAGGAGCAGATCGTTGCGGACTCGCGGCCAGGAAATCCCGCGGATCGCCGTCGGCCGTCGCCGTCTCCAACTCTCCCGTCTAGTCGTCTTCTCGGCTTCTCCAGTTCTCCTCGTCCTCAATCGAGAATTCGAGATGTGTCACAACGCCGCCCAGTAGTTACTCCGTCCGCGGAGTCCGCGCCTGCTAGGTGCTAGCGTGATCGCGGAACCGAGAGTCCAGAACGAAAGCCAAAGCGCCGATCGTTTCCTTTTTTATCTTTTTACATTGAAAATTTCTACCTATCTCTATGACTAGCGGACCCCAGGGTATGCGGTGGCCCACCCTACATACCCTGTGGGTCCGTCCCTGTGAAGAAGAGGCGCCGGTTGTACCAAGAACTTCGTCTCCCAGGCGGGGAGGATCTGCGCCCGTCGATCATGCTGCCGGTGTCCTTGGGCGCGTCCTTCACCTCCGGATAAAGCGGGGACGACTCCTGGTTCGTCCCCTTCCTCTTGCCTTTGGCCACGATCTCACTATTGTATCGTATCTGTGCTAATCTCAAGAAGCTGTGCACCGAGGTTGCTGCGATGGTGTCAGAGATGTTCGTTCATCCGATGCCTGGTGACAGGCAGGAGGCCATGAGGTTCTGAGCCACATCTATGAAGACGACGAGCAAACAAAATTCAAATTTGTTGGTGAGATAGGTCTTCGTCGGTTAATTTCTGTTTGCACAAATGAATTGGTCTCATGATTTTGGATATGGATGCTTGGGAAATTCTAATCTAATTTTTTGTAGATGGTTTTACTGTGGTTGATCTGAATATGTGTGAATGCCTCTTTCAGAATGTCTCTTCTGCCTCCAGTACGTTTTGTACCTACCGTTCAGAAAATAATACCAGATTTTGGAAGTTCATACATATCTCAGCTTTAGTGATCTATTTTTTTACTGCCATTTATTTACTTATATTGATAAATGTGCCTTACATATTCTGCCTCAATGGGTACTAGCCCTACTAAAATACGTGATTGCTTCTGTAAGTATTATTTTTGTTGATTCTTCTAAAGTAATCATGTCCTCATCCACAAGGTAGCATGTAAATTACAGTAAGCTACGAAAAGATAATGGTAGGCTCTCTAGCTACAAGTTAGACTCTTGCTTCAGTTTATATCTATATATGACATATCTGAGTTCAGTTTTAGTATTTGATTATACATTTTCCTTTTCTAAATTTCAGTTCGCTTAGCGAGCAGAGTGCTGTCTCTTTGCAGAGACAGGCTGAAAAGGTAGATGACCATCACTACCGGTCTACTGTAGATAAACATCTTATTGTCAAATCCCTTGCTATTCTTGCATTGGAGTATATATGACCAGAATGCAATGAAATCATGGCCATAATGACATAATGATCTGAAAGTGCTTGAACAGAATTTTTTTGCCAATTGGTTAGGCATGACTGAAGTTTTGCCGATGCTGCAGTCTCTGTCATGTTTAGCTAGAACCTCTCTGCAGCATGATTTGGTTGACTTAATTTACATGGCTTATGTATTTAGTAATCATTTAGTTCCCCTTTAAAAATATCATGTGAACGTCTTAAAAATGAAGCATCAGGTTTATGGAAAAGAATGTGTGCCTAGAGCTAAAGCTGCATTCTTCACAGGCTGTAACATTAGTACCATATAAATCCATAATCTCAAAAAAATTTCCATATATATTAGGTTGCTGCCATTGGGTATATCTAACATTTGCTCAATTGTATAATTAGATATTTGGCTAACAGATTAAAATGTTGCAGTAGTATTTTCTTTCCTGAAATCTCCTTGGTAGTATTAACAATTCTATTGATTCAAATCAGTTTTTTGTTGGCCAAAGTGCCTCCTTTTGACTATTTGGTTTTAGATTCTGCACCTCTGGTATTTACAGTGATATAGTTGTTTATCCCTTTGTTGGTTCCACCAGACAAGTGAATTTTCTTGACATTGTCTGATAAATGAACGTGCTTCCTCTGCAGAAGATGTTTTAACCTATATAATCTTGTAATAAGAGTGTAACTTTATCACATTGTGATCACCATGCCTTTGCTTGTTTACTTCAAGAGATCATGGTGGCCGTGTAAAAAGAAGTATTGGAATATGTCTCATGATAACAAAGAGAAAAGACGGGCTAGAATCAAGAGCGTCAATGTAACTACGTGCAAAGTTACAGACTATGGCCGGGTTTCCAAAATGGCATTGACAAATTCGAATGCACCAATATAAAAAATTCATGATATAATTATAAATTCTCTTTGCCTAATAATACTTACACATTCTTTCTTATTCTCGATAGCCATATATCTGAGCAGTATTTATTCTTTTGAGCATACTATAGGTCACGCGTACCTTGTGTTATCTGGTTTTGCCCAATAATTGTGGGCTCAACAATCCCCTAACACTACGCCAGATTCTTACAGCAGGAACGGGGACATTTTTACTATAGGGGCAGCTGGGGTTGGGGGCGCCCCTACAGTGGGCGTCCTCGGGCCCCAGCAGCCCAGCCGCCCTCTTAGATCCATTGTAGGGGCGGCCGGTCAACCCGAGCCGCCTTGCTGCTTAGGGCTGATCAGTAGGCGGCTCAATCACCACCGCCCTCAGCGAGATGTCACTGTAGGGGCGGCTCAGGTTACCAGTCGCCCCTACAGTTAGGGCTGATCTGTAGGGGCGGCTCAATCACCAGCCGCCCCTACAGTTCCAACTGTAGGAGCGGCTGAATCACCAGCCGCCCCTACTGATGGGGCACGAATAAATAGCAGCCACCCCTTCTTCCACCTCGGGACACACTCTTCTACACAAAAAAAAGGTTGAGAGGCCTTGGGCTCCTCCTAAAAATTGCTCTACTAAGGGGGAAGGTTTTGATCTTAAATCCTTTAATGGAGAGGCTCTAAAAGGTAAGGAAATGCTTCTCCAACTCTTTATTTAAGTTTAATTCGTTGGTTAGTGAGTAATTTGATTTTAGGTTTTCTCTCTCTTCCATGGAGCTTGAGCTAGTTATGAGTGAAATTAGACCCTAATTTTCACTATACTAGGGTAAATTAGGTAGGAAAGTAAGATTGCACCCTTTATTAGTACATCTTTGTTGATTTTAGTGTAGTATTAGTGAAGTTTGGTGCATGTGTCATGAAACCCTATATCTAGATCTAGGATTTTCTTTTTTTTTCTTTTTCAATTTTTCCTTTATGTGACTAGGGTTTGCATGTAGGTGAATGTGTAAGATTTTAATTGTTGCTAATGTGTAAAATATCCTCTACCATGGCTACTAATTATCATTTAATATTTATTTTGATTCCTTTCTATAATGTGTGTTTTATGTGACTTGGATGTATGGTTCGTTAAGACACGACGCTCTTTTCCATGATGAGGTGGACAAATTCATCAAAGCCGCAGAGAAGCATGCAGCGACGTTGAAAGAGAATAGCGACACGATTATTTGTCCCTGCAAAGATTGCAAGAACCTTATTGCATTTCGAGATGTGATTACCATCAAAGAACATCTGATTAGAAGAGGATTTGTTCTAGACTATATAGTGTGGATTTATCACGGTGAAA